CGCACCTAATTATCAGCAGAATGAGATGTTGTCCATCGTGCGAGCGGTGTCGGAACATACGAGTGTGTAGTCGAGGGTAGGGAACTTGCGCGCGTTGGCCGCGTACGACTGCGGCGCCCACGTCACGTCGAGGTCGTCGGCGCTCACTTCCCAGCCGAGAGCCGCGCCCGCGCGCTGCTTGGCGTACGGGTAAAAGTAAAAGCCACAGACGTCCGGGTTGTTGGCATAGGCCTCCGCTTCAATCGGCGCAAACGCGTGCGCGAGGTCCGTCGGCAGCATCGCCGGCAAGCACACGTCGCTCGAGTTGCCGTCGCCAAGATACTCGAAGAAGCAGAACGCCTGGAAGCCGTCACCGACCGCCGTGCTGTTGCGCACAAAGTAGGTCGCGTTCGCCTTGCAGAAAGCGTCGTTCGTGCAACTCAAACGAAGCGGCGAGAAGGACGAGGCCGCGTCACGGCGCGTGTCGTCGCTCAAGCACTCGTCGTACGCGACAAGCGACGCATTGATCGGTGCGCGGATGACACCTGCATCGGCGTGGATGACGCCGACGCGGCCTTGGCACTGGTACCAGTTGGCCGGGTTGGCGCTGTTGGGGCAGTTGAAGCGCTCTTCAAACTCGGAGATTTCCTAGAAAAGAAAGAGGTGCGGGCTAGGGTAGGGTAGGGTACGAGGCACCTGCATGAAATAGCGGATGCTGTGGCTGCCACGGGCGTGAACCGGGCCAAGCGGCGGGTCGACACCATCCCACCACGAGTTCTTGAGGATGTAGCCGCCGGTGTAGCCGTCCTTGGTCGTATACTCGTCGTTGTAGCCAACGATCGTCATGGCGTGGCCGCCCTCGGCCTCCATGCCGTAATGCGACGTGAACTCGCCGTCCATGTTGTAGTCTTCGCCGCCCTTTGTCGTGATGCAGCACGTGGTCGGGATGCCCGGCGGGCACAAGGTGCACAGCGGCGACGCCACGTCACATCGCGGGTCCTTGGTGAGATCGCCGACGCACGGGATGTAGCGCGTGATCTCTGCATCGTCGTGC